CCCCTAAGTGTCCGTCAGTCACTGTAGTGATGATCTAAGGTTAGGTGTATTCCAGGAGGGGTTTCATCCATACACATTTAGCCCTGCTCATCCCAGTGGCTCCCTGGGGGTGGATCTCTTCCAGAAGAACGCCTACAGCCTAAATATTAAATATCTTGACTTTGAAGCACTCTCTCCATTCCTTCAGTATCACCTTGTGGCTTTGCTACAGATAGGCCACTATCACTAGTAAAGGAACACTTTGATTTTGTAAAAACAAAATTCAGATTGCAGAATTTGGCAGTGGCCTTATTTGGCACTCAGCCATGGTTGAGCTTTCACAAGCTGTGCCCCCCCCCCCCAACAACAGCAACAATTAAAAAAAAAAAAACTTTAATCCTGTGAATTTTGAGGAAATCACGCCCTCTTGTGGCTATGTGTGTATTACAGTATTATATTAGTATTGGACTTTCCTTAGGTAAACAAAGTTCTTTAAACCCAACTGGTTTTAAAGCAGGATGGGGTTGGAGAGATGGCTCAGGAATTCAAAGCAATCATTGCTCTTACAAAGGACATGGTTTCAAGTCCTAGCCCCCACCTAGCTCACAGCCATCCCTATAACTCCAGTTCCAGAGGCAGACCTTTTAGGCACTGCATGTATGTAGTATATAGACATACAGGCCGGGCGATGGTGGCGCACGCCTTTAATCCCAGCACTTGGGAGGCAGAGGCAGGCGGATCTCTGTGAGTTCGAGACCAGCCTGGTCTACAGAGCTAGTTCCAGGACAGGCTCCAAAGCTACAGAGAAACCCTGTCTCGAAAAACAAAAACAAAAAGTATATAGATATACATGTAGGCAAAATATTCACACATAGAATACATCTTTGGGGGGGGGGGATCTGTCTTCCCAAGATTTTCACCACTGCTTGGCTCTGTGTTGTCAGAGGAACTCAGTCACACCCTTCCTCTTCTTTCTCTGCGTTGGGCTGCCTCCAAGGGCGCCCCTGGCAAGGGAACCTGAGAAGAGGTGGGACCTCTGAACTTCGGAAGCCTGGGAAGGCCCACCTTCTTCCCTGGAGCCTTTTTGCATAGCGGCCGGGTCAGCACCCCTCCCCACAGTTTGGCTCCTCCCAGACCCCTGTGCAAAGCAAGGCCTATCTTTGTTCTACTATATAAATACTTGCTATGTTCGAGTCCCACACTGGCCGCCCATGCCTGCAGAGGTGCTCCTCTGTGTGCAGACCCCACTTGTCACGACTGCTTTCTCAGTTGGCCTGTACTCACTCCTCTCTTTGGTTAGCCCACTGCCTCAACTGGCTCCGGCCCGTTCCTGACCATTGTTCCTTGGAAGTCCCGGAACTTTTCTTTTTTGAGACAAGGTTTCACAATGTTGCCAGGGCTGACCCTCGAAATCCTGGGCTCAAACTGTTGTTCCTTTGGAAACTACAGCTCCCAGACTCCTCCTGGATTACCGATACCTGCGCACGCTGGCGTGCCCAGGTGCGGGTCATTTCTCCCAGATAACCTTGCGCTTCCCGTTAAAAAGCGAGCTTCCACGAGGCCTCGCTCTCTTGCCCCCACCCTTGTGTGTCTCCCTCCCCCATTAAAGTGCACCCACGTGGGAGCCGCGTGTCTTGTCTCTTCCTTTTGCGCATGTCTCGTCTATCCTGTGTTCGTCTACATACCCCACCCCGCCGTTTTTAAAGGAATAATACAAACTATCCTCCTGCCTCAGCCTCCTAAGTAACAGACTACTGTGTCTTGCCCTTACTTGACTGTATGCATGTCTGTACACTCACACGTGTGCTTTACCACTTGGCTAAATCCCTGAGCCCACTTTTGTCAATTTTTAAGTTACATCTGTTTCTGTGTGTGTTTGTGTGTGTGCACCTGTATATGGCACAGTGCACATGGAGGTCAACTTTCAGGAGTTGATTCTCTCCTACCCTATGGCTCCCAAGGACTTAACTCAGGTCTTTAGCCTCGGTGGCAAGGGACTTTACCCCGAGGCAACCTGCCTGCTCCTCTGATATACTCACTGCCTAGATGTTCTGTTCTCATGACTTTAAAAACCTTTTTTTTAAAAAAATATTACAATATTCTGTCTGTGTGTATGCCTGCAGACCAGAAGAGGGCACCAGACCTCATTACAGATGATTTGTGAGCCACCATGTGGTTGCCGGGATTTGAACTCAGGACCTTTGGAAGAGTAGGCAATGCTCTTAACCTCTGAGCCATCTCTCCAGCCCTTAAAAACCTTTTCTGTTTGTTTGTTTTGTTTTTCAAGACAGGGTTTCTTTGTTTAACTCTGGTTATCCTAGAACAACCAGGCTCGCCTCAAATTTAGAGATTCACCTTAGAGATTCTGCCTCCCCACGGCTAGGATTAAGGGTGTGTGCCACCACTGCCCAGCAAATCTTTTTTTCTTTTTAAAGTAAATTGTTTATTTCAATTAGGTCTTTCTAGCAGTTTCAGCCCCCCCCCCAAAGAGCAGAAAGTACAGCATCCACACAAACTACCCCTAATTTCTTCTAAAATTTTATTTTAGCATCATTTAAAAGAATCCGTATCCTGGTAGCTACTAAATTTGGCTCTCCAGCTGTGCCCCTCCTCCTGCTTTCTGTAATTATGCAAGCACCCGCTCAACTGCTCTACATATCTAAGAACAAAACCAAATTCCCAGTACCCCCTCAGAATCTGTGCCAGCTCTTAACTTTTTAAAAAAAAAAAAGATTTATTTATTACATATACAGAGTTCTGCTTGCATGTATGGTTGCAGCCCAGAAGAGGGCACCAGATCTCATTACAGATGGTTGTGAGCCAGCACTCAGGACCTCTGGAAGAGCAGTCAGTGCTCTCAATCTCTCCAGCCCCCAGCTCTTGAACTTCTTAAAAGCTGCCAGAATATTCCTAATTCCTCTCCTCACACCCTTGAATTAGGTCTCTCTACTGTACATATAAAATAATCCAGAACATTCTCCTGCACTCAGCTGTCCAGCCGCCAGAAGCTAAAAACTTCCCTCCCAGTGTTTGGGTACCCATGCTGCAAGTCTGTAACCCCAAAACTTGAAGGCTGAAAGCGAGAGTAAGCCTAGGCCACCAGGCCCGTGGGTGTGAGACCCTGTCTTCAAACTTGTCTCTTTCCTTTACAAACCCACCAAATGGCTACCTCATTCACCAGGAGCCAAAGCTTTTCAAACTACCCACTGACTGTTCCACAAATTGACCCCCCAGTTCTGACCTCACTTCTCTAGTGGTTCTGTCTGCACTCTTCCTCAGCTGCCCATATGGCTCACCTTGATCCCTTCAGGCCCAAGGCTACTTTATCCCAAACACTTCTGGGTCTGAAATGCAATAGAAACCCCACTCCCTACCCCAACCCTTCCTATCTCCTAACCCTGCCCCAACCCATAAGCACTGTAGTCACCTTTCCCCACTGTCAAGGACACTGTTCTGCCTCCTGCTGTATTCCCAGCCCAGGTACAACGTGCACTGCTCGTTCTACAAACAAGAAATACCCACGGAGTGCTCAGAGTACCAAAAGCACCTGGAACTCGCCTCAGTCATGGCAGAATCCATTCTCAGGATTAACCACACCTACATGACCCTCAGCAAAGACCAAGAGGGATGGGGTGAGTCATTATCCACAAGGGTCAAAGGCTCTCAGGAAGGACACTAGACTGAAACCTGCCCAACTGGATGTGAGCAGGATAATTTTTCATCTCAGCATTCATGTCTGTGTTTGAGAAACGGTCTTGGCTTGTAGCCCAGGCTGGCCCTGAACTGACTCTTCCTGCTTCTGTCTCCCAAGTTGTAATTAAAAGTGTGAGACTACACCCCAGCAACTGTTCTGAGGAGGATTTTGAGTGGAATACAAGTGACTTATGGCTTATTCCCACAAATCTGAAATTTCTAAGTGGGACTCTGCCCTTTATAAAACAAAATGATTTAAAAGGCTTAGGAATCCATCTGAAATAATTTTAAGTAGCTTGCTAACTACAAATACTTTCCCCACAATAAAACACTAGTTATTGGAATGGAATCTTTACAATCAATAAATACCCTCTGAACGTGGTTCCCTGTAGTCTAGGAGCCCCTGGAGCCTGGACCTTTTGAGGAATCTGAAAGGCCATAATTTTCATGGCACTGAGACCTTCACTCTTAGAGCTAACTTGTGCACCTCATTTGTGGTCCTCCTGAAAGAATGCACACAGCACTCCTTGAATTCCAGTATTACAGAGATGTGCAAAACAAACTATCCTGTCCTGAAAGAGCTGCCTTAAAAAGATATACACTTTCTGCCACCAGTGCCACCGTGGCATTTTGTATCTTGCTCTACTGATAGCCTCTCCTTACTAGATGCTTACTAAGCTGACAGCAGTCTTCCAAAGCTTAGATTCTAGACTTTTCTAGTTCGTTTCCTACTTCTCCCAAGTGCAAATGACTCATCTGTGAAGTACAGATCCACTATTCTGAGTCAACTTGAGGGTCAGTGAGGTACTTCAGTGAACAGCGAAGGCTTACCCTGCAATCCAAATGAAACAAATTTCCTGTTATCTTCCCATGACTAGACATTTTCACAATTGGTAGATATGCATGTGAGTTAAAGCATAAGCTACAAGGCACATATACAATGTGAAACCAGGCCAACACTCAGGAGACAGAGGCAGGTAGATCTCTGACTTCAAGGCCAGTCTGGTCTAAAGAGAAAGTACCAGGACAGAGAACTACACTGAAAAACCCTGTCTTGGGGAAGGAAAAACAAAAGAAACCAAATCACCTGAAGGTAATGATTCACCCTCCCAGTTAAAGTGAGCTCAAGCCCCTTCACTAAACTTTGGAGGGAATTTTCCAATGACTCACCCACCAGAGCGTTACAGGAGAGGTATGAAATCCTCGTCAGGGGTTTCAGGGTAGAACATATGACAGGCCCAAGATGTATTATAATCGACACCAGAGAGGGAGACAACACTGTCACGGATCCCTCAAATGCTTGAGAAACAAGACACCACACCTCTGGATAACAGCACCAGCGGGGGTTTATTTAGTGATAGTAAGGTTATTGACTCCCTCAAACAATATGGGGCAGGCCACCTGGTTCATTCAAACTGAATCTAAACCTTAGATCTCTGACTCAACAATAACATAAGAAACCTTTAATGACATAAACCCGTGTTAAACCAAAGACAGTTTCAATGCGTCTTAAAAGCTCTCCTACTGGTGGGCTGGCATTTACAACATGAGTGTTCAGTTACAATAGCACACTGGAGTTTCTTGACTGCCATATCTTAAGCAGGTCTGAAATATGCTGTCTTACAAGAATTACACACTCCCCACTGCTTTCAATCTCCAGTCATTATGGTTTCTTCAGCCCTCAGAACATTTTTAGGAGACATTTTCTTTGACCTGCTTGCCTTAATGGGTACATAAGAACTCAGTAAACTGACAGAATGAAGATTAACTGAGATGCCAAGAGAAGTTTTTATTGCAAGCACAGTGAGCAGAAAGAGATGTCTTCTCACAGAGTGGCCACCAGGTAGGTCTGCTGTTAACTAAGCCTCTGACAACCCTTCATTGGTTTAAAGCATACGAATCAGCTTCTCGTTATCAGGTGTACATCATCTCTGCCATGTGGGACATTTTCTTAGGGATATACAAGTAATATTCCATGTAGCCTGATAGGTCCTCAATGGTCACATCATCCACATAGACACGAGCTTGCTCGGAACAGGATCGAGGGGAGCCAGACAGAGTTCTGGTGTGCAGTGATGGGGAGTAGTCCTCAAGTGATCTTCGTTCTGGGGCCAAAGGAGGGACACTCTGCAGACCTGAAAAGGAATACACTTCCATATCATGCCATCTCTTGCACTGGCACTCCTTGCCTACACACACACACGGCTTGCCCTGGCTTAGCTTGGAAACAGATCGAAAGTCAGAGAGATTGCTGGCCTTAAGACTTTCTGGGGAGACTTGGGTAGTAGCATCAGAGGGCTCTTCTGTTTTACTCTCTGGTGTGAGCCTTGGAACTGAACTTCTCAGAGGCTCAATGCCTGCCCCCGTGTGATTAACATCAAGAGAAGTAGAGGTCTCTCCTGTGTTGAACTCTTTGGGGCTTGAAATTCCCAGCCCACTACTGCTGTCAGGTGGCTCAGTCTGGCTTCTGTGCTTGAGCTGGCTGCTGGGAGGAGATGTTGTCTTGCTGCAATGTATGAACTTGGGAGGATGAAGGACAGGAGACTTAGAGCGTCGACGACGCTGGGTTCTCACTGCTCCTCGTGAAGACTTCCTTGTAGACCTAAAAGAGAAAGACAAACAAGATGTGGAGAAACAGAGCCCTCCTGAGAGAGGCCATATGACAGCTGGAAACAGACCTCCATTTTCAAACTGCCTTACATCTCTGTGTCTCAAAAAGCTCAGCATCCTTTACTAGCAATCTATAGAATTAAGTGAGATAACACTACCACCCAGACCAGACACTTGAATTCCATTCTTGTTTGTGGATGCAGGCCCCTCAGCTTGAACAAGGCTCCAGTACTAAGCTGCTCCACTCTGCCAGTGCTATCAAACAGGGCATCGCATCACAAATCACTTCTCTCATGGCAACAGCCAACAAAAACAAAACTAACAGAGAACTGGAGAGCGGGTTCAGGCAGTAAAGTACTTGCCACACTAGCACCCATGTAAATAAGCTGGGTGCAGTGGCATGCACCTGTGATTTTACAGCTGGGAAGACAGGAAGATCCCTGGGACCTGTCCAGCCCGTCCAGCCAAGTAGGGGAGCTCTAGACTCAGAAATCTTACCTCAAAAAAAAAAATAAATAAATAAATAAAAACAGGGGAGAGCAACTGAAAAAGACAAACAATATTAACCTGTCCTTCACATGTACTGAGTGTGCCTACAAGCACAGAAACATGCACACGCACATACAGAAACGCACGCACACACTCTCTCTCCCACTCAGGATTTGGTGTCCTTGAGATTTCCAGAAACTAAGAATTAGATGCGCTATATAGCTACTTAAAACATTTAAATAAAAAGCTGGCGTAAAAGGAGAGTTAAAACTGCCAACCAAAATTAGAAGAAAAAAAAAAAACCAGCAGGACTTAAAAACCAGGTTTAAAAGAAACAACAAACAACTTGTATTTATTTGGGAGAGGAGGTGGCATGTTTATGCCAGGGTACACACATGAAGGACCTCTTTTGGGAGTTGGTTCTCTCCTTCCACCATGTGGATCTCAGAAATCAAACTCAGAACTTCAGGCTTAGCAGTGCTGAAGCACCTTAACCCACTAAGTCATCATCATAGCCCTGATACAGAACTTTGAGAAATAAAAATCAAACTGGGCGTGGTGGTGCACACATTTAACCCAGCACTCTGGAAGGCAGGCAGACAGACCTGAGTTGGAAGCCAATTGTTCTAAATAGTGAATTAGAAAACAACCAGGACTACATAAAGAGACCCTGTCGTCTCAAGGGGAATTTGGTGGTGGGTGGGGAGAGGAAGAGAAAACTGACAGAGATGGAGGGGGGGGGAGATCAACTGGGCAGGAAGCACACACCTGTAACCCCAGCCCTAGGAAGTGGATGGAAGGACTGTGAGCTCAAGGCCAGCCTGAGCTACACTGAGACTCTATATCAAAAAAATAGGAAGGGAAAGGAAAATAAAACTGCATCTGGAATAAATGAAACACCACTATGAGAATTGCTGAACAGGAAAAGAAATCTATTTATAAGAAGGGTCAGGAAACTGCAATCTGTAGGACAATTTAAATTCGTCCCTCTACTTGCTTCCTGTTAGGGGTAGGACTTGGTTCAAGCCAAGAGCCTCACGCATGCTCAGCATGTACTTTGCCCTACTTGTTTTTATAGAGCATGTGGACACTGCTCTCCAGTGGGCTACAACTGTGAGCCATGGAGATGAGGCCAGGGTGACCCTTCATCCCTTTCTCCCACCTTCTGGGGCCCACCAAGCTACCATCTCCATCTGGGACCTGCTGGGCATTCAAAGGTAGTTTAAGAATCCAACCAGGACAGGGGAGATGACTCTGTGTAGAAGTGATTGTTTCACAAGCCCATAACAGCCTGATTTCAATCCCTAAAATCCATATGGACATAGAGAACCAACTCCCCAGAATTGTCTTATGACTTTCATATGTGTGCTGTGGTACATGCCCACATCTGCACATTTGCATGTATATACACACACAATTTAAAAAAAAAATCCAACAGCAATACGAAGTCTGAAGGACAGAAGAGCACACTAGGAGATGTTATGTTTCAAACAGATAAGTGGGCGCTGGAGCTGCTCTTTACCACCCACCAGGCTGACCACCTCGTCTGGAAACTGAGACAGCAGCAAGGAGAGCAGCTTTCTCCTCCTGTAAGCTCCTACACAATAGCCTCAGCTTTAGCCTCTCAGCCTCCAAATTCTAAATTAGCTATTGGATCTGTCTGTCTGTCCCTCCCTCCCTGGCCCTCCACCCCTGGTTTTTTAAAGGCAGTGTCTCACTGTGGATCAAGGCTGGGATTACAGTTGTGCTTATTTACCACGTCACTCTACACAAGGTCTGCTAACCCGTGGCCTAAAGGCACTAGAGAAAAGGTACTAGAGACATGCAAAGGCTGTCTGTCTAAACAGAAGAGGAATAAATCTGGAGTCTGTTTTAAGAATGCAGAGAGCAGTGCGCTGGGAAACAGTGCCCACCTAGCTGTCAGTACCCTAGGTTCAACTCTCAGTGCCAAAGAGAGAACAAACAAAGGAAGAGGAGGTGATTTAAAAGATCATGGCTAAGATCTTAAAGCAAAAACACTTAACACTGAAGGCAGATGCAGCCTTTCAGCAGCAGCACAGAAGGCAATGGAGTCAGAAGACAACAAACCCTGCAAGCGCTAAACAACTGCCAACGAAGAAACAATTTCAGGAACAACCAATCTATCTTTCAAAACAAGGATAAAATAAAGGCATTCTCAGATAAAGCTCAGTAAATTTGTTACCAAACTTGGGATCACAATCTGTGCCCAAGAGGCCAGATTCTGTCCTTAAGAAGCCAATTAAAACAGACAAATTAACAGTAAAAAGCAGAAAAAGAGATTTATTCAATGTGGCCACATCTGGAAGAAGGGTAAAGTATTCACCAACAGGACACAATGTCCATAATTCCAAAGGTAATCATTCATAACTATTTATTTGCAGTGTTGGGGAATGGTCAGAGCTTCTCATAGTCCAGGCAAACAACCCCAACATTGAGCTATCAGACAGCCCAAAAGGAATCACTCAAATGGACTCTACCTAGAGAGCAGCAAGAGCCTTGTTTACCAACAGCCTTTTACTAAGAAAATGAGGTTGTATGTGTCAGGGTCTAGAGGACAGGAACCATGAGCAAAGAAACTGTAAAAATGCAAATACAGACAAATTAACACTAGAGGGAACAAAACCTAACCTATGAGATTAGAAGTAGAGCAGGGTTGACATACTGAATAACCACATCATGGAAGACAAACAATGCAGTACCAAAATGATTGGTAATATCTCTAGCCTTTTTATCAAAAGCTTAATTGTAAAATTTCAAAGTCAACTACTTAAAAAGCAAAGAAGAGTACCTTCGAAATTAGTAGAAGTAAAAAAACAAAATTTTTTCAAATCGTTTTTTAAAAGATAGGGAAGAAGGGGAAGTAGGTAAAAGAGAGAAAACAGGAAAAGCCTAACAACACTGGGCATGGTCCCTAACAGGCGAAGGAAGGAGAACTGCCCAAGAATTCAAAGTCAGCTTGGGCTACACAGTGAATTTTAGACTAGCCTGGGCTATAGAGTTTGAGCTCATGTCTCAAAAATAAAATATTTTTAAAAAATTGTCAAATAAATTAAAATGGCAGATGTGCAAATACACCAATTATTGGCTAGGCAGTGGTGGTGCATGCCTTTAATCCCAGCACTTGGGAGGCAGAGGCAGAGGCAGGTGGTTCTCTGTGAGTTCAAGACCAGCCTGGTCTATAGGAGCTAGTTCCAGGACAGCTATGATTGTTACATAGGGAAACCAAAAAAAAAAACAAACACGAATTACACACTGGAAGAAAACAGGACTAGCAACACTAAAATTCCAGACAAAGTAGACCTTAGGACAAAAATCACTATAATATTATATATTAATAAGGCTGGGGATATAGCTCAGGTGCTAAGCGTGTTTGCCTGGCACGTACCAACTGACACAGAAAACCAGAACACACAGAAAAATCTCCATAAACTCATTATTAAAAACTGTGAAGTCAGGCATGGTGGCTCAGGCCTGTAATCCCAGCAGCTGGGAAGCTATCTGAGGTCATTCTGAGCTACATAAGGAGTTAATGGCCAAACTGAATCAAACAGTTGGAGTGTCTGAGAAGAATCACTGGGTCTTGGGTTGGATCACAGTATACTCTCTTTGGAGACATTTGGGAAAGAAAACCCAATCATATTATAAGTTACTCAGCGTGGCAGTTTGAATGATAATGGTCCCATAAACTCACATATTTGAATACTAAGGAAGAATTAGGTTTGGCCTTGTCAGAGGTTTCAAAAGCCCACACCATTCCCAGTCTCTTCCTCAAGACTGATTCCTCCAGATGTGAGCTCTCAGCTATTGCTCCAGCAGCATGCCTACCTGCCTGCCTGCCTGCCTGCCTGCCATGCTCCCTGCAGCGACAGGCCTGCACTCCAGTCCTCTGAAACTATGAGTCCCAAATAAACTCTTCGCTGTGAGCTACCGTGGTCATAGCATCTCTTCACAGCAACAGAAAAGTAACTAGGGTAAAAGTCTCTAGGGGTGGGGGCTGAGGTGGCTCCATGGTTATGAGCATTTGCTGCTCTAGCAAAGAACCACATCAAGCGGCTCCTACCTGCCTTGTAACTGCAGCTCCAGTGATTCCAACACTGTCTCTGGCCTGCACGGGCAGATGTACATACAAACAAGCCCAAACAAACATACACAACATAAACTTAATTTAAAAAAAAAAAATTAACCCCCCCCCCAAAAAAAATATTCTCCATGGAAAGCTATTACCCAGGCCAAAGGGCTTAGAATAAAAGTGCTTTTAAACCAAGCCTGACAGCATGAGTTTGATCCCTGAAATACACATGGTAGAAAACCAACTCTTACAAGTTGTCCTTTGATTTCTATATGCACTTCCTGGCAGGTACCACACCCCAAATAAGTAACTGTAATGTGGGGGAGAGCACTCTTACCCGTGCCAACTGTCTTTAGACGCACATGTGGTTTTAGGTTTGGTGTCATCTGTTGCTGTTCTGACTGATGCTCTGACACTTGTGCCTTCTCCGACAGACAGAGACAGGACGGACCTGAGGACAATAACAAAGTTTACCATGAGGATAACATTCTACCCTCACTAACTCTAATACGACTTTCAGTGATTTTTCTTTCTAGTTTATACTTCTCAAAAAAGTGTTCAGCTTTTAATGTAAAATTTCCTCCAAAACCAAACTGAAAAGATCCCTAAAAGTCCATGGCTGCAAAATCATAAGCAAGAGAATGAACTCTAAGTGTAGCCAGCAGTGGGCTATAAATAGACTTTAGGCTGTTTATCTGGGGCAGATCACGTCTTATATGATCAGGGAGGATGTTAGCGACACTGACCACCTCTTTTACTTAAGAGGCCACAGCCATAGGAACTAAGATCAGGAACCTATTTCTAAGAGTCAATTCAAGTAGCATATGATCCCACTCTGAAGTATTTTACAACTTTTAGAAAAACTTTCTAACTAGTAAATCTGAAATATAACTCAGAGTTAAATCTTCTTTGTTTTAAAAGTATAAGTGCTATGGGTTCCCAGTGAAGAACTAGAACCTCAGTTTGATCCTGAGATTCAACATAAAAAAGCCAGGTGTAGTGGTGTGTGCTTGTAATCATAGGGCTGGGTAAGAGGAGACAAGATCAGCCGAGGCTACTTGGCAAGCTCCAGGCTAATGAGCTATTTTGTCTGAAAACAACAAAAACATGGCTGGAGAGATGGCTCAGTGGTTAAGAGCACTGGCTGCTCTTCCAGAGGTCCTGAGTTCAATTCCCAGCAACCACATGGTGGCTCACAGCCATCTATGAGATCTGGTGCCCTTTTCTGGCCTACAGGCACACACGGAAGGAATGTTATATACGTAATAAATCTTTAAAAACAAAAATAGATGGACTAACATTCCACATTGTTGTCTCTATGTGTGTGTTGTGTGCACGTGCGCGCGCGCGCACACACACACACACAGTCAAGCATGGTAGTGAATGAAAGTGAAATTTATGCCCTGGCAATGCTGAAGCCTACATGGGCAGCTCGTATATGGTGGTTCTGTTGAACTTGTCCATATTGGGTTTCATGGTCTAAGTTGATAAGGACAATTGACCAGGTCTCTTCCTCAAGAGAGCACCAGATCTCATTACATGTGATTGTTGGGAATTGAACTCAGGACATTTGGGGAAGCAGGCAGTGCTCTTCTTAACTGCTGAGCCATCTCCAGGCCAGTACTTACTATAATTCTAGAGGCAGAGGCAGGAGGACTGCAGGAAGTTCTAGTCCAGCCTAGGTTACACACAGAAAGGTGAAGGTCAGCCTAGGCTATCTAACAAGACCCTGTCCCAACCTCATCCCTAAAAATACTTTTAATGGCATAAAAGCACATTTGGATTATCATAAGAGACACTATGGTGAACACCCATGTATGTTGTGGTCTAAAACACTATGCCTGCAATTCCAGCATCAGGAGGCCAAGGAAGATGACAAGCTTGAAATCACCCTGGGCTGAACAGCCAGACTTTGTCCGTGTCTCAAAAAGACAACAGCAAACAAACAAAACACAATATACAACATTATATATAAATGATCTAGAGATTTAAGTAAATTGTGACATTTCTTATCCTTTTATTAATTTTTCTATAATTATTTTACAGTCGTATTAAAAGATTTATTGTTTTATAACAAATACAAAGACATTGGTCCTGATAACACTGCAAATCAAAACCTGTTGAACAGGATCATACTAAATTCCTGGCAAAGCCTAATGAGTCAGTTCTCAGCAGTCGCTTCAGCAGGGTGTATGACAACAGTACAAAACAATCAGAAACACACGCGGCAAACTCTACACGTCTCATTTTGCTTAGTCACGCTAATGACTCACCCCTTCCACTCCTGGTTTTCTCAAATATTTTGTTCCTTCCTTCCATAATCTTAATAAAAGCATATCATATGCTACAAATAAACAATTTTTATTGTTTTTATCGCGGTATACATTTTTGTCCACTCCCCTTCCTTCTTTCCCTCAAACACATAATTTCTCAGAAAGTTGTACTTTATTATCTATTATTTGTCTCTGTGAATGGGCACGTACCTGGGAACAAGGTATGTGCTTTTGAGTATAGCTGTGTGCAGAGGCCAGAGGCACAGGATCTCCTTGGAGCTACAGTTACAGCTATGGCATGGGTGCTGAGAGTTGAGCTGTGGCCCTCTGCAAGAGCAGTATATGCTTTTCACCACTGAGCCCTGTCTCCAGTCCCCAAATACATAATTTACGACCATAAACTTCATAGATATTTTGCAAAACATTTTATAATAGTCTAAGTAATTTTCAGTGCCATCAAAAGTTTAATTTTATTTTTAACTTAATTTTACATTCCAGCTTCTTTTTTTATTCCTGAAATAGGGTGCCTTTTATGTAGTTCTAGCTGTCCTGGAACTACCTTTGTAGACCAAGTACCCACAGATCTGTGTACTTACTGATCTGCCTCCTGAATGCTGGGTTTAAGGTTATATGCCACAACACCAAGTTTACATTTCAATTTCTTTTTCNCATTTTCTTTTTCTTTTCTTTTCTTTTTTTTTTTTTTTTTTGGTTTTTCGAGACAGGGTTTCTCTGTGGTTTTGGAGCCTGTCCTGGAACTAGCTCTTGTAGACCAGGCTGGTCTCGAACTCACAGAGATACACCTGCCTCTGCCTCCCAAGTGCTGGGATTAAAGGCGTGCGCCACCACTGCCCAGCTACATTTCAATTTCTTAAAACAATAGGGAAAAGTCTGCATATAAAAAGTTACTTAAAAAATCACACCCAAAATCACAAAGAATATACTAAAACCACAATCTAGAATCATGCTTTCCCACCTTATTTCCTTCTCTCAAAAAGACTTGCCAAGGGTGAGGGGATGTAGCTCAGTGACACAGCACACGTATCATGAGCATGGCCCCGAGTACTATTCTCAGGATAGAGAACCCAAAAGATAATGGAAACAACAAGAAAATGAGTATGAAGCACATGAGCATAATTCCAGCACTCAAGAGACTGAGAATGGAGGATCATTATTTGGAGGCCAATCTGGGATACATAGTAAGACCTTGTCTCAAAAACCAAAAACAAAAAAAGTATATATAGATATTGATATGCCAAAAAAACATGCTGAAGAAAAAAGCATTGGGAAAGTAAGTTTCCCGAAGTACCATGGAAGCAAATGTGAACATCTTAACATCCACTGTGAAACTCTATTAGCATAAACACTCTAGGGTGGACCAGAAACAGTGCTAGAAACAGGTAGGCAGCTATTAGCATCTACTTAGTTTTTATTTTGTCAAGTATTTTCATGTGATCTACAATGGACCACATGAAAAAAGGCTAGGAGCAGGTTCTGGAGTCAGACACTCTGGGTTCAAACTCCACCTGTAACTTCCACCAGTAGAAAGGGACCCAATTTTGTGAGCAGTCTCTCTAAACTAAGACAACAGCAGTTAAATGTGCTCCAAGTTCTCACTCACTCAGTGCTGAGGGCAAGAGTGAAATGCTGGCGACCAGGACTATTATTACTACTACCGGGCTCAACTCTGAGCTTCCAGTGTTCAGTTTCTACTCATAAAAGGATCATAATCATTAGCATTTGAGATTTCATCGGGCTTGGGGCCAAGAAGAACTAGCATAAGAAGCGATGTGATCTGCACACAGGCGTTGTAAAGGGTGAAATTCTAAGACTTAAACAGCATCTGGTCTGCGGGTGTTCCCATTAGTTTGGTCAAAGGCTCTAAGACTATTGATCTTGATGACAGATCCCTACTGAAAACAGGTGTCCACTGAGAGACACAGCAATTAGAGACTGAAATCAAGTCTTCATAGACCTTTATTGGGACAGTTCACTTTTAGTAAAAAACAAACAAAAATTACTGTGATTCCCTTGAGATATATGAGAAGTCCCTGGTGGAGTACTACTTGATTTAAGGTTTGAGTAAACTAGGGAAGAGGGACTGCCTCAACCAAAACACACCTCGGAGTAAAACCCAAATACTGCTTTTCAAATTCAATCATGTACATACAAAGAATATGTCAAAGTCAAAGTCTTACCATTTACTTACCCTAGGGTGAACAGAGAAGTCAGAAGAGGAATATTTTAACCAAAAGGACTATTTAAATCCAGCAAATAAACAATCCCAAGTCACACATTACATAGTCAATTACCCTGATGCGTCCACTCTTAATTTCTTGAAGGCAGTTTGTAGACTCTCCTCCTCTCCATCCTTGGCTTCAGATTTCATTGTGAAAGTTTCTGCACTCCTATGGATGTTCCTGTTAATACTTAAAAAGAAATAGGAAAAGTGGAAATTGGTAGAATCAAGAGTATTATGTCCTTATACGATTACTATTAGGAGGAAAACATCTTTTATTTCTAAGTTGCAGTTTATATAACCAGACTATAGGATTTATTTCTTAAGAAAATAACATAAAAATACATATGAACTACCACAGAATTCAAACCACCCAAATAGTTGATGCCAACATATTCCTAAAGTTTTAGAAACAAAATCTAAAAACTATGTTTCAGGCTGCTAAATGAGGGGAGAAAAAGCTCCCAGATTGTACTTGTCTAGAAACCTATCAACAGCAGGACCATCAGAGACAGGAGAAAGATCAAACTGTGATACTGATTAATTAAAATGCTACTGAGTATTCTGACTTTATGACACCATAGCATTTGTACAAAGCAATTTTAACAACATATCAACATACATGAAAACAAGACACTGCTGTTGTTGGAGCAGGAGAGACCTGCCTATTTTAGACTCTACTCCTCTGACAACTTTATTTAGTCTGTTGCCTTTGAGTGTCACAGTCATTAAACAAGAAATGAAATCTGTACTCAAAAACAGGTAAAGAAGAAAGCAGAGCTTCTCTTTAGTTAGAAGTAGGAGAAAAAACTACAAAGAACACTGTTCTGCAGGTATGACCTGTGCTTGCTTCTTAACCAACTAGTTTGACTACTTGAAATTCTCAATTTCTGCTCCTCTGATTTTCCATTTAAACAAAAGGAGATAAACGATCAACTTAAGCAACAAGAAACAAGTCTTTTGATAAATTCTCAAATCTAATCTTCAAATTACCAAAGTACTAAATCTTGAACAAATGAACACACAAGTATCCAAAACAGGAGAGGGAGGGAAGAAAAAGACTGAAAAACAAGAAAATTTTTTAAGCCAAGGAAATATTTTACCTTATTTCTAATCTGGTACCCCTATCCCCCCCCCACCCCACCCCCACCCCAGGCACTCTCAGAGAGAGCAGTGCCTCTCTACGGATCCTTGGGTATTCTGAGTCTAGATCAGCCTACTTCTCAGAAGTGAGTTATATGTTATTGTGAGATCTCTAATATTCCAAAGGTCAAGATGTCACAATGTTTGACATTTCTGTGTATGTTCAACCTCCAAAGAACTTAGTTTTCACTTCAACATTAGAAGTCAACATAAACTCTCTTCACACATATTTTTGTTTCCTTAACCAGGTCATAAACATGAGGAAACACATTCACATGACTGGAAGCTTCACTGGTCTCTTATTCTTCACTGTAGCTGGGCTCCCCTAAACACACAATAGTCTATATACTAGGCAGAAAGCTGAGTTCTGTTATGTCTGGAGTTGTACACATCTAAAAATGTCTATCACAGGCTATAAACAAGGTTTCTGGTTCCCCCCCCCCCCCCAAGACTGGTTTCTCTGTGTAGCTTTGGCTGCCCTGGAACTCTCTCTGTAGGCAGGGCTGACCTTGAATTCACAGAGATCCCTCTGCCTCTTCCTCCTGTGTGGGGGGGGGGGGGGGGGGATTAAAGGCGTGCACCACCACTGCCCAGTTAAAAGTAGTTTTTGGTTCTGTTTTGTGTTTTACTTTCTTGAGACAGGGTTTTTCTGTGTAACAGCCCTGGCTTTCCTGGAACTCACTGTAGACCGGCAGCCCTCAAACTCAGAGACCCACCTACCTACCTCTGCCTCCCAAGTGCTGGATCTAAAGGCATGTGCCACCATGCCCAAGTTTTTTTGTTTTGTTTTTTTGCTGCCACAACTCCATCAAAGCTGGATTTATAAAGACTAATGAGATGGGTCAAAGGTGGGAAGATGGTTTATAGGGACCGCTTAGATAGACCATGCTGCTAAGCCTGCCCACCTGAATTTACTTCCCAGAAGTTGAATAACAGAAGTATTCAACTCCCCAAATTGCCCTCTGCCCTTCATATGCAATACTCATACACATTATGCACATAAAAAAATAATAAAGTATGGTTTATGGTTCTCTCAAACGTACCTCTGTGGCAATCAGTCAATACTTTAAGCACACATCAAATTACATGTACTGATGACAACACCACAGGCAGAAATCCATTACTTCCACAAGTACTTCCAGAATGCCTAGCACTACGTGGGATGCCACAAGAGAGGCTGAACTGAATACAGGGGTTCTGGGAACCCCATTTCTGTAGGGATGGTGTCTTACTCCTGCCCTCCAGGATCTTACACTTGGCTAAAGCAGCTTTCCAGCTAAGCCTCGAAACTTCTAATTACACAGTGCTGACATAATAGCATGGCAGATGACCACCCTAGATGTTAATACAAACTTAGTTTTCTTGTTGAGACACCAACAGATATATCATTAAAAACCAAAACAGCCCAAAATAAAAATCTGGCTCCAGACCAAAAACTCAGAGGATAAAATATTGCCGAAACTGTTTAGAGATTTCCAGCGTTGTGACTGCTCATCTTTTCCTCGGTTCCTTTAGCCCAGAGCAAAGGAGAATGAATAGTGCCAGCCTTAACCTCGGGAGCGAGAGCAGGGCAGGCTTGTGATTACAGAAAGCTTACGATGCTCCGCTGTGTTCCTAGCTTTCCACTCACAGCGCCTCAGCTCCCCAGCTACACAACAGTGTGACTGGCCTGCATCTTCATCCACATCACATCTGTGAGAGACATTTATTACCCCTTCACCGCACTGACTTCTCCAAGAATCCCGCTCAGACTGGCAAAGGACCTGTTAGCAGTTACTCTGCAGTGTCTTAAGTCAGATCACCTGAGAGTTTCTCTTTCTGCAGACCGCGTATGCACAAACTTGCTTACTCTTTGAAGCTTTGACTAAGCCCTCCTTAAGTTTCAAGTCGAATTCCTCGTTTTCAGGAGCCTGAAAAGAACCAGTATGAGAGCTCCACAGAGTTAAAGCGAAGAAAATTTCCCAGACCTCTAGGCAGCATAGAGCTCCTGTCCAGCAACCCTCCAGGAGAACGGCCCCGACAGACTCGATCTGTCCCCAGGACAAAAACACATCCACACCTCCCTGGGCACACACCCACTCAAGGCCACAAGTCGCAGAACTACAGACAAAGCAACAAGTTCGTTCCTTTTTACCAAACTTGAATCTGTCGCGGTTAAACAGGATCGGCGGGGAAAGGTCCGAACCTGGGGACGCCCCCAAGCCGGGAGCTGTCACGGCTTTGACCCTGCTCGCCCGGCCAACCACGGACCCGGGGAGGAGGCTGGAGTGGAGCCGCGGCGCGGAGGACGCGAGCCGAGTGACGGGAGGCAAGCGGAGAGGAATGCGGCTCGCAGGGCGGGAAAAGGCGGGAAGGGGCAAAGGGCGCCAAGAAGGGCGAAAGGGGAAGCTGCGGCCGCCGCGGCCCGAGGACCGCGGGAACGCAGGAAGGCGGGAAGCGAAGGCCGCGGCGGACGACGGCCAGGCCAGGCCAGGCAGTCGGCGCAGGGAGACGCCGCGACCGGACGGGCGGGCGGGCCTCCGCCTCCCGAGGATGTGAGGCCTGGCGGACGCGACTCCCCGGCCCTTCCGGGCACGTCAGGCCGCTCACCTCCTCGCAGCTGGGGTGCTCCCGGGGATCCGGCCCCGTAGTCTCTTCGCGTCTCTCCGCGACCGCCGCGCCTGACTGACCCGGATCCAAACCCCGCAGATAGGGCGGCCCGCGCCTTCAGGGTCGCACTACGCCTGCGCCACGTCGGCTTGCGCCCCGCCCGCCGCTCACGCCCCTCCCACCCCAGTGACTCGGCAGCGCGGTCCGCGGCAACTGCGCAGGCGTACGGCGGCGGTCCCGCCTCTCTGAGGCTCCGCTCCAACCCCTCTCCGGAGCACGTGCGTCTGAAGTAATTTCCTGTTATTCTTTTCGCTCCCTCCGCCCCCTGGCTGGGGTTCGCTCCCGGCAGGCTTTCGGGCGTGCCTGCTTCCTCTCCTCCGTCACGTGAAGGGGAGGCTGTTGGCTGTGCAGCCGCTAGCGAGCTAGCTATGCTTGCACGGCGTCCCCTGGTTCCCTCTAATCCAGTTGAAGTCACAGCAAGGCAAGGACTTCGGCGGGGTGCTGGAGTGTGTGTGCCAGCGAGGCATTCCGGGACGCTTGGCCGAGTCTCCTAGATACCCTCGCCGCGGTTAATCTCTTTGGGCCAAGAAGGTACTAATTGGACGAGGCCCAGGCGGTGGATGCTAGCCCCGAATTAAAATGTTTTAGGTTTTTTGGTTTTTTTGTTTGGTTGTTTGGTTGGTTGGTTTTTTGTTTTTGTTTTTCGAGACAGTGTTTCTCTGTGGCTTTGGAGTCGGCCCTGGAACTAGCTCTTGTAGACCAGGCTGGCCTCGGAACTCACAGAGATCCGCCTGCCTCTGCCTCCCGAGTGCTGGGATTAAAGGCATGCGCCACCACCACCCGGCTTGTTTTTTTTTTTTTTTTAAACATGCTTTATTGCTCAGACTGTCCTGGAACTTGAGATCCTTATGCCTCAGTCTCCCTAATGCTGAAATCGGGTATAATGCATGCCCAATTTAGGAATTTTTGTTATTTTAACTTTATAATGATGGTGAAAGCCTTTTTCAATGGGAACTACATCGGATTTTGAATTTTGGTGTTTTTCCAAGCTAAAAGTATACCCTATAATAACTCTGCATGCTGGCCAGCAGAGGGGACTCAGCTCCCATTCAGCCTCGGGAACTCCCAGGGCGAATTGGTGTATGTAATGCTGTGTTGCTGTGCTCTGGTGCTCAGTATTAAGTGTGTTTGGGGCTTATGTGTTCCTCTTGTGACCTGCTAAGTAGCATGTGTCCCCCTCATAAGTTAGGGAACATCTGTGTAGGGTTGTTAAGCATGTGATGGTGCCCGAATAAAACTCTTATTAAACTCTCGCTGTGCAGTAACTGGTCCACAATGAAAAACAAACAAAACCCCCCTTGTAACTCAGTAGTGTTAATAATGTAGCTACTCTTTACTGAATTTTCTCAAGTTTAATATTCCAGATTTTACACATCCTACAGCTAGGGAAGTCTGCGATTCAAGGAGCTAAGATAGCCTACCTTATTAGCTTATCTTTTCCCGTGTTAAACAGTGCTAATAAGTTAGGTTAGGAGAATAGCTCCGTGGGTAAGGGCTTGCCACAGAGCCTGATGACCTGAGCCTGGTCCCGGGAATCATCCATGCAAAGGCGAGAGCCAACTCCATCAAGGTGCAGCCTTCCTTCACATGTGTGTCCACACATATGCACATCAGTAACACATAAGAATAAACAAGATTCCTTTTTTATTGTGTTACAGTATGTCTTACAAATCTGTTCATGCACAGCTTCTTTCAACATCTGGAAATAATAATAAAGGAAAACTGAATTGCTCCCTCAGGCGTTGCCAACTGATTTGCATCAAGACCAAACAGGTGTTTTTAAGCTTACCATTTCAGAGCATTGTTTGGTAAAATCTCTGCTGCTCCCCAGGAAAGGTGATCTCTCGGTCAAATTCTTACAGAGCAGAACACAGTCCTTGCAAGTTAAGAGATACTCAGCACAATTCTGATGACCTCCATTTACCTTATTTTTATTTACTATGATAGTAAGTATTAAAAAGTAAAAACATCTGTTTGTGTGAGCACAGCTTCATAAAGTGGGACACTTTCTGGGAATGTGTCCTCTTGCCCTGCCTGGGGATACATAGAAAGTAAGGAACAATCTGGCTACACCGTCCCTCCTGACTCCTGACAGCAGCGCTGTGGGCTTGAGGAAATTGACTGCCCAGATCTGGGACCCTGTTCCAGCTGTCCTCGCCTTGTGTGGCTTGAACCCACCAGGCTTTTCTCTCCCAAATCCTCCCAGATTTACTGTTTCCTCTCCTAGAACACTTTACCTGCAGTTCATTTTGTTATTCAGGTCTCTGCTCAAACCCTTTCCCCAGAGGGGCTTCCCCGACTACTCCAACAGTCAGTCTTCTTCAATCCCAAATTCTTTCCCCCCCATTCATTTTTTCCTTAACCACTATGACATTTCAGTGTCCTTTCACTATAGAAATTTACTATTGCTCTCATAGAAGCGACCTGAGGACAAAGACTTGGTCTTGGTCTTTATCATTACTTGTTAATTAAGTCTTAGATGTATATTTCCCCACAATTTTTTTCCTTCCTAATTGCACCACCAATAAATGGTGAGTCTTTAAAATGTTATCTTGGGCTAGGAAGATTGCTCAGGGGTGAAGCCTCTGTCCAGCATGCATGGCACCCAGAGTTCAGTGGGTGCCAAAAATGAAACAGGAAAGAAATTAGAGTTGAAAAGATGATGTCCCCAGGAGCTAAAGTCTTGTGTCGGACAAACCTCGCACTTGGTAATTACCAACCAAACCTGCTAAATGTTCACTGTAGCAATTTAAATGTCTTTATTCTTCACAGCTATCTGAAAACGTTGCCTGAGTAGGTGGTGGGGGGATGGGTGCACAGTTTAGCAAGACTGGAAGGACAGAGAGCACAGCCAGGCAGGGTGCCTCTTCGCAGCTATTCCTTACACAGACCTCGCTGAACAACGGCCACTTGCCCACCGCCAAAAGCCCTTGAGAAGTACATGGATCCTCAGAGAGCCACAGATGCAGAGCATAGTGTGATTTGTGGAGAGTAGAAAGGGACCCAGCCTGCTATGGCAGTGCTTTGGAGAGGTATTCTTGAGGCTCAAAAGACAGGCCTGCCCGGGCAAAGGTAAGGAAGGGGAGGATTGAGACCAGTTGTGGCTGAGGCCTGGACTTTGTCCAGAATGTCATGAACTATTTTCGTGATGGCAGCGTGCCAGTTAGTAATTTATCTCACCTGAGAAAGCAGGTGGGTCTAAGAGAAATAAGGGCTACAGGATGGAACAAGTTTTGGAGAGACTAGTGTTTCAGGTTGCTGGACACAAGGTGACCCAGTTCACCGAGGGAATTCAGGAGGATCGACCAGCCTTGAGAAATGCGATATTGGCTTGGGCCGTAAAGAATTGGAACTCCAGGGCTGGAGAGATGGCTCAGAGGTTAAGAGCATTGCTTGTTCTTCCAAAGGTCCTGAGTTCAATTCCCAGCAACCACATGGTGGCTCACAACCATCTGTAATGAAGCCTGGTGCCCTCTTCTGGACTACAGGCATACATGCAGACAGAATATTGTATACATAATAAAATAAATAAATATTTTTTTTAAAAAAGAATTGGAACGCCAAGTGAAGGCAAAAATCAGCTAATGAGAGGATACGTTCTGTGTGTTAATCAGTGGGTGTCTGGTGTATAAACACCAGTTGGGATATGATGTGCGATGCCCTTCTGTATGCTGTGAGTATGTTTTATTACCATTGGTTAATAAAGAAGCTTATTTGGCCGATACCCAGGCAGAATAGAGCCAGGCGGGAAACCTAAGCAAAGATAAAAGGAAAAAGAAGGCAGAGTCAGGAAGATGCCAGCCGCCACTGGAGAAACAAGATGTGAGGTAACAAGCCACAAACTCATGGTAAAATACAGAATAATAGAAATGGGTTAATTTAAGTTGTAAATGCTAGTTAATAATAAGCCTAAGCTAATAGGCCAAACAACTTGCAATAAATATAAGTTTCTGTGTGATTTCTCAAGGCTGGGTGGCTGGGAAATGAAAGTGCAGCCTCCGGTTACAAAGATACGTGGAGTCAGTCCTTCTGATTTGATCAGGAGATCATGACAAAGACTTTTGGACTGACCTTCAGGACTTGTCCTAAATGAGTGTGACTTTCGTACAGTCTTCAAGCCTCTGCCTGTCGCCTGCCAACTCTAGGCCCCTCCCCAGCTCCAGAACTGTGACACTCCACTCGTGCTCAGGGGCCCACCTCTTTCAGGGACCATCTAGCCTTTTACCCAGGGTCTTGGTTAGAAATCTATCCTGTAATAAAAGCACCATGATCAAAACTGACTTGGGGAAGAAGGGGTTTATCTGACTTGCACATGCTAGTCCCTGTTCAGAGGGAAGGAGGAACCCAAACCAGGAGACAGAAACAGACCCTGGAGGATGCTTACAAGCTTCTTCCTTCTGACTTGCACAGTTTGCTTATATCCCCTCAGGACCACTTGCCCAGGAATGGCACTGACAGTGGCCTGGGCCCTCCCCAGTCAATCATCAATCAAGACAATGTCCCCCAGGCTTGCCTGTAGGCAATCCGAGTTTCTGGACGTCAAGAAACACCTGCTACGTTTTCTCCCCTCAGCCCAGCCATCTACTTCGACATGTGTCGTTTAGATGCCCTTGTATTGGTGCTCCAGTGGCACTTTGTTGTCCCTTCATCAGAGCAGGACTCATATCCTGTGTCCCCATGTCCTGCACGGGCCTACCACCGTATTGAATGAACGAGCAATCTTACAGAGTCGGTCATCTCAGCAAAGACTTCCAGCTGCTTACTGGCATTTTAGAACCACAACTAATGACTGCTGATCCCCTTAGCCTTTGATCTGAGCAATGGGACTTTTCACCACCTGCCCTTGTTTGGGGGAATAGGCAAGGGCTGGGTAGGTAGGGATTGGCTGTTCTCTCTGCCCTCTTTGTGGG